ACGGGGTCTCTCCCTCCTGGCAGCCGTGCTGGGCGATTCCCTCTCTGCAAAGACGGTGTGTGCCTCGGCGAAGCAGAAAGCCTCGGTGCACTACAACCTCCACAACCTCTACGGGCTGATGGAAGCCAAAGCCACGGCGAGGTACCCGAGCATCCCTCTTCCAGCCAGCCTGGGCATGGGGTGGGACAAAATCCTGCTGCTCGGGGCTGTGTGGGAAAAGGACAAGGATTTGAGTGCCTGACCCGAAGGGGGGATGCTCTGGCCACTCACAGCTCCCAGAATGGGAATAACTCAGCAGAGGAGGGGAGCCAGCGCCGCTCCGGGAGGGATGGGTGGATGGTCCTGGTGCTGAGCCTTCCCCGTACTGCTCGGACCAACCCTCCGGCACCACAGGGCTGTGGTGGGGCCGGACCTCTCCCACCACTTGTGAGGGATAAGGTGAACTCCTGGTGGGCTGCTCTCACCTCCTGCCCTCGGCTCTCCCCGTGTTTTTCCAGCGCCTTGATCCAGATCCGGGGGAAGCGCCCCTTCGTCATCTCCCGCTCCACCTTCCCCAGCCAGGGCCGGTACTCGGGGCACTGGCTGGGCGACAACCGGAGCCAGTGGAAGGACATGTATTACTCCATCCCAGGTGGGTGGCACGGGCTGCATGCGGACCCCCCTACCAGCACGCCCAGCTCCATTGAGCTTTCTGCTTGTTTGGAGACGTCTCCGAAAATCCCTGTGCCTTGCTGACCGTCCGGCCTGTGCGGGTTCAGCCTCGTCGGCTGCCCGCTGGTCGGGGCGGACATCTGCGGCTTCTCCGGCAGCACCTCGGAGGAGCTGTGCACCCGCTGGATGCAGCTCGGCGCCTTCTACCCCTTCGCCCGCAACCACAATGCCCAGAATGAGAAGGTCAAGGGCAGCGTGCCTGGTGGGAGGCATCCCAGGGGTGGGATGCGGGACTCAGGATCTGGGATGCTGGGTGGAGGATCTGAGATGCAGGATGGGGGATGAGGGATGGGGGATGCAGGATGGGGGATGCAGGAGGTCAGGGGCAGAGAGGATGCCCAGCAGGGATGGGGTGGCTGCTGACTCCTTGCATCTCCCCCAGGCCCAGGACCCGACAGTGTTCAGCCCCGCAGCGAGGACGGCCATGAAGGACGTGCTGTTGACCCGCTACTCCCTCCTGCCCTTCCTCTACACCCTGTTCCACCGTGCCCACCTGCAAGGGGACACCGTTGCCCGGCCTTTGTTCTTTGAGTAAGAGCATCCCTGCCGGGAGCTGGGGAGATGCTTCGGCTGGAGCAGCTGATCCGAGCGGCGTCTCCGTCCCACTGCAGGTTCCCCCGGGATGTGGCAACCTTGGGGCTGGACAGGCAGTTCCTGTGGGGCCGGAGCCTGCTGGTGACACCGGTGCTGGAGCCCGGGGTGGACTCGGTCACGGGCTATGTCCCCCGAGGCGTGTGGTACGACTTCTACACGGTGAGGAGCACCGCAGCGCTTGGCCAGGGGTTGGATGGTCCCTGTTTGACCATCTTGGGGTTGCAGATGGGAAGCCGTGGCTGAGCCCAGCAAGCCCCGATGGAGGAAGGGGTGGGGACCACTGCTCCTCAGACCCATGCCTGAGCTCCCTGCCATGCCCTGACCCCCTCATGCCCATGTCTCTCGCCACCTGCCCAGGGCTCCTCAGTGAACAGCGGCGGGGAGATGCTGAAGATGTCGGCCCCCCTGGAGCACCTCAACCTGCATGTCCGGGAGGGTTCCATCCTGCCCACCCAGGTGGGCACCCACCCGTCACTTCCTGGGGGCTGTCCACAGCGTGTGTGTCCCCACCAGCACCTCAGCTCCCAGATCCCCTTCCTGGTGCTCGCAACCCTACAGCACCCATGTCTTTGAACCCCAGAAAGCAGGGACGACCAGCGAGGTGACCCGAGGGAATCCCCTGCGCCTCATCGTGGCTTTGTCCTCAAGTGGCACTGCCTGGGGGGACCTCTTCTGGGACGACGGCGAGAGCCTAGACACCTTCGAGCGAGGCAGCTACTCCTACCTGGTGTTCAACGTCACGCAGGTGGCATGCAGGGGGGAGTGCAGGGCTGAGGGATCCTGTAGCACCCGGCCACCTCGAGCTCATGCCACCCCCTCCTGCAGAACATCTTCACCTCCACCGTCCTCCACGCCAGCACTGAGGCCACCGAGGTCACCATTGACATGCTGAGCATCTTCGGGGTGCGCGAACCACCCAGCAAAGTCCTCCTGAATGGCCAGGAGAAGCCCTTCTCCTACCTTGACAACCAGGTATGGCCCCATCTCAGGGTGCCCTGTCCTGGAGGTCCCCATCCTGGGGGTCTCCATCCCTCCTCCCCCAGCCCTTGTTACAGGGTTTGTGGCCAAAGTGGTGGGTGAAGACTCGGGTGGCTCTCCGGCCGTGTCGGTATTCAGGGGGAGCAGAGCTCCACCAAGCCGGGTAGGGAATGGGATGCTCCACCCCCTCCCCCCCCCCCCAGCCTCCCCCCCCAAATGTTCTCTGTTCTC